AAATGGTGGGCAACATATTTCAAAATCAGTATATAAAATATCAATGATATATAATCACTGCTGGCACTCTTTCCTGGAACCTATAATCAAAAAACAAATCTCACTTGAACGGTCAAAAACAACAACAAAATATACATGAAATCGCCAACTCCCCACCCAGAAAATGTTGACAACGAACCGGGTTTACCAAATGAATATCTGCGTAAATTTCAGCAAGCCGCGCAAAAAGACATCATCTTTGCTTACCTCCTCCCTTCCGTTTACCTTTGCCGGCGTCGGCACGGCGGGCGGCGGGCGGCGTCGTCGGCGGGCTGGATCGTCTTTCGCTATAAAAAACCACAGCGGGGGACAGCGGGCAAACTGGCGGCGGGCCCGCTGCCCAGAATCAGTTCAAAATGGCGGCGGCGGGGGGGCGCGACATCCATCCAGTACTGCAGTGAGCACCGAAAAAACCGGAGTGATAGGACCAGTGCAAGCCCGAGACTCATCAAGATGTTTGAATAAGCCCTCCCTGCAAGCTCCCTCTTCACAGGCTCCTGCAAGGATTCATTTCCACTGAAGGAAGTGCCCTGTTGGAAGACAGCCGTTCGAATATCCTGAAGCATTCCAAAACAAACCCCAACGACGCGAAATAACCTCACGTTCAGCCGGGACAATCCTGAACCGGTCCAAAACACCATGTCTGGTACGTTGACAATGGGAATCCGTGAAACCGTTAGACATGTTCAAGACGACTTCACGCGGCGCTAAAACGAGAACCACAGTTTGAAACGGAACCGTCGTCAATCCGTCAAGCTCTTGCACCAATTTAAAGCGAATGTGCGCGGCGCCACGGCGAGAACCAAATTTTGAAAACGGCCCACCATCAATCCGCGAAGGTCTTGCAATTTCTTAAGACAAACGTGCACGGCGCTAAAGCGAGAGTCACATTTTGAAAACCACCCGCCGTCCATTTGTGAAACTGCTGCCAATTCAAAATTTAGAGATCAGAAGTGGTAAAGAAATCTCAAGCGAAACGTCTGGCCCGCCCTTCCGACCGGCCTCAGGGTGCGACAGGGAGGAGCTGTTTAGAATGAAAAGGAAACGGTGGAAGCAGGATGGTATCTGTCGGCCAGGGTGTCAGGAGGGACATATGCCGCAGCAGGAGGAGGAGGAGGAGGAGGAGGACGGGGAGCAGGACAAGGTAGGTGCGCTCGCGTCGTATCTGACGTCCTACCCCTCCTTCTCTTGCCTTGCCATGGCGTAGATCCCCTCTCTATTCGCACAGTCGGACGTCGAACAAGGCAATGATCCCGAGAGGGTGTGCGATGCATCATAGAGCACGGCAGAGCAGGAACTGCATCGCAAAGCGTCGCAACCAAAACAATAGCATCTCACAGCGGCACATAACAGAACACTGCATAGCATGGCTTTGAATCTAAAAGCATAGCATGGCGTAGCATGGCGTGGCACTGCGTAGTCAAGCACTGCATATCCCAGCATTGCAGCTGATGGCATGGCACCGCACACCGGAACACCATATAGCATTGCATTGCATGCCGTGGCATGGCACTGGAACTAATGACGCCAACACTGCAGCGGGAACAAGATTCGGAGCGAGCGGAAATGAGGCTAGCGCTGCGAAGGAACACGATTCGGAACAAGCGGAAGCGCGGAAATGAGGCCAACGCTGCAGCGGGAGCACGATTCGTCACGAACGGAAGTCTGACAATGAGGATAACGCTTCATCGGAAACAACATTGGGAAACAAGAAACGAAAACCCAACTCCCCGGCATCCTGTGTGAACAAACACGCGGAGGGGGGCGAACATCTTCCAGACGTCATCAGGGGAGAGAGGAGACTAGTATTCATATTGTGTAATTGTAGAGGAGGAGGAGGAGGTGATGAGATGAGCAAGCGGTCTAAAGCCAGCGCGGTCGAGCTATCGCTCGGCGACGGAGGCCTCCGAATCTTGGGAAGCCTCCTCGAACTCCCCGTCCAGGGGCTCTTCGGGCCCCTCCTCGGCCTCCTTGCGCAAACGGCGGAGCCCATCAGCGCGGATGGCTGGAAGGCCCCCCTCCAGGGGGCCGAAGGCCCTCAGCACCTCGGCTCGGGACGTCATCCCCCTCAAGGCGCTCGCCCCCCGAAGCCCACCTCCCCCCAAGACCTGAGCCGAGGCGCCAGGGGCAGAATCTACAGGGCCAAAGATCGAGGCCAGTCGCACACGAACAGCGTGTGGCACTCCCTGGGGGGGGGTCAAGGACAGGTCCTTCAGCCCTTCCTTGCCAGACGGGTACTTGCTCTCCTTAACCCTCGCGAGCTGCCACCTCAAGCCCGAAGCCGCGCTCTCACGGAGGCACGGCCTGAGGAGAACTCGAGTCGGCCGCTCCACGCTGAAAACGGCACCGCAAGCACAACAAAAAAATATGGCCTTGCCATCTTCATGGCCCGACCTCGCATTAACCGTCGCGTGCAGCATCGGGTGGCCGTTGAAAGAGTATCCCATGTCACGATAGGCCTCGAAACCCTCTGCTGGCAACTGCAACATGGGCACACTCGCTGGCGCAGCAGCGGGGGTTGGAGGAGGAGGAGGAGGAGGAGGAGGAGGAGGAGGAGGAGGAGGAGCAGGAGGAGGAGGAGGACGAGGAGGAGGAGAAGAGGAGGAGGGGAAAGAGGAGGAGGAGGAAGGGAATGGGGAGGAGGAGGGGGAGGGGGAGGAGGAGGAGGAGAAGGAGGAGGAGGAGGAGGAGGAGGAGGAGGAGAAGGAGGATGAGGAGGAGAAGGAGGAGGAGGGGGAGGAGGACAAACTAGGCGCGTTCGCATCATATCTGACGTCCTACCTCTCCCTCCCATCCCTCACCATGGCGTAGATGTCCTCTCTGTTCGCACAGTTGGATGTCGAGCAGGGCAACGATCGCGAGAGGGTACGCGATGCATGGTAGAGCACGGCATGACATGGCGTAGAAGAGCACGGTAGAGCGAAGCATGCTATAGCATGGCGTGGCATTGCGCAGTGAAGCAATGTATCACAATTCAGTGCAACGCAAAGCATGGCATCGCACAGCGGCGCAGAACACAACACCGCACAGGATGTCATGGCATGGTGCCAGGTTTTTTTAAAGGTAAGTGGACCGTCTTCGAAAGGGCTGGGCCGGTCTGGAGTCGCGGCTCCATGTATATCTCCTTGGACTCCTTGAAAAGCTCCGCGCTAGGCGGGGCTTAAGGAGAGCACCCGCTGGTTCGGCTTTCAACATTGCCTTCTCGAAGCAGAAACGGGACTCACGCTTGATACTTCCTGAAAGCGACGACGCCCCAAAGTGGGGTGGGTGGGGGGCTTCTGCAGCCCAGAACATCAACGAATCGACACCGAATGTGTAATCACTTCCGATGGTATTTTCAGGTGGCCATGTTTTGAACATTTTGAGGCTATTTGGAGGGAAGGCCAGCGCTGGAGCGGGAGCACGATTCGGAACGAGCGCTCGGAAAAGGTGCCAACGCTACAGCGGGAGGACGATTCAGAACGAGTAGAAGCCCGAAAATGAGGCTGGCGCTTCACCGGGAGCAGCATTTCGAAGAAAAACCATGCGAAATCCATTTTCCAGGAATGCTGTGTGTAGAAAAATCAATATGCGGAGGGGGGCCGGATATCTTTCAGACGTCATCAGGGGAGAGAGGAGAGTAGTATTCATATTGTGAAATTGTGGCGGCGGAGGAGGAGGGGGAGGAGGAGGAGGATGAGGAGGAGGAAGAGGAAGGAGAAGGGACGAGGATTAGGAGGAGGCGGGAGGAGGAGGGGAGGAGGAGGAGGAGGTAAGAGGAGGAGTGAGAGGGAGAGGAGAAGAGGAGAAGGAGGAGGAGGAGGAGGAAAAAAGAGGAGGAGGAGGAGGAGGATGAGGAGGACGAGGAGGAGGTAGGAGGAGGAGAGGAGGAGTGAGTTGTGGACACACAACAACACACACACAGTTTGGGGAGGACGAGGGACGAAGGACGAGACGAGTGGGAGGTAGGAGGAGAGGAGGAGGAGGAGGCAGGAAGGAGGAGGAGGAGGAGGAGGGGGGTGAGGGGGAGGAGGAGGTGGAGGAGGAGGAGGAGAGAGGAGGGAGGAGGAGGAGGAGGAGGTGGAGGAGGGAGGAGAGGAGGATGGAGGAGGAGGAGAAGGAGGGAGGAGGAGGTGGAGGAGGAGGACGAGGAGGAGGAGGAGGAGACGGAGGAGCGAGGGAGGAGGAGGAAAGAGGAGGGGAGGAGGAGGAGGAAGGAGGAGGAGGAGGAGGAGGAGGAGGAGAGGAGGAGGAGGAGGAGGAGGAGCGAGAAGGTGGAGGCGGAGGGTAGGAGGAGGATGAGAAGAAGGAGGGAGGAGGAGGAGAGGAGAAGGAGGATGGAGGAGAAGAAGGAGGAGGAGAGAGTGAGGAGGAGGGGGGAGGAGGAGTGAGGAGGGAGAAGGAGGGGGAGGAGGAGGAGGAGGAGGAGGAGGAGGAGGAGGAGGAGGTAGGAGGAGGAGGAGGAGGAGGAGGAGGAGGAGGAGGGGGAGGCGGAGGAGGAGGAGGAGGAGGAGGAGGCGGAGGAGGAGGAGGAGGAGGAGGAGAAGGAGGAGGAGGAGGAGGAACAGGTGGCCTCACAATCGACACCAGCCCCCGAGGTGGACGACCCGGAAGAGCAACAGCAGCAGGGGGCAGAGGAGGGAACGACACCTGGGGACCAGGACGAGCCCGGTGCCGGGGGAGGGAGGACAACGAGCGACAGGGAACGACCGCGACGAGGGAGGAGAGGAGGGCGAAGCACGGGCGACAGCCCGAGGGACGAGCAGGAGGGAGAGTAGGCAGAGGAGCGACGCAAGATGGCGGAAGGAGGGACGGCGACACCACCCCGAAGGCAAGCGGGCGGGAAAGCAGCGCTGGCAGTCAGGCTTCTAAAACTAATCACCCTAAAACACATGACTAAAATCACAAATCTAAGCTCCTCTGCCACGCGAACTGCCAGAACCAGGAGGAGGGGAGAAGGGAGGAGAGAAACAAGCAGAGGACTAGGGCTCCTCGTGGTCCGCGGCCCACGTTAGTCTGGCCGCTGACGCCCCCGAGGCACGAGCCCCGCTCACCTTCGCTCGCGGCGCTCCCCCAAGCCACAATGACGGCGATGCAATGAAGCATCTCCCGCCGCACCGTGGCCGGCTCCCGACCCTCTCTTCTCGCCACCGCCGTCGCCAGCGCACGGACCGCGGCGTCCGCGCCCTTCGACATGCCGCCCTGGGCCTCGAACGCGACCGGCCTGAACTGGAGGCCGTGCTCACGGCATCCCTCCTCGGTCCGGTTGCACTGCCACTTCTGCTCGTCGTGCGCCTCGGCCGCAAGCCCCAGCGCCATGGCCGTGTCCGCCCAGTGCGACGGCCCTAGGGCGTTGATCAAGGCGAAGTCGAAGCAGACCTTGTCTGCCCTCACCGCGCGGCTGCCGTTCGGCAGAAACCGTGCGAAAGTGACGTGGGGGATCACTAGCACGTCTGCCGGGCGGTGCTCGTCTGCTGCCTGTCGTACTTCGCGTGCCCCGGGGACTTCCAGCAGCCCTGCTGCCTCCAGCATGGGGCGCAGCCCGCCGCGAGCAGAGTAGTCGTAGAGGACGTCTCTGATCGCATTCTGCACAAGCGTGGCCTCCCCTCTGCTCATGCACGACAAGCAATGCGCACACCTCGCGTCCAGCGGGGCCGCGCACAGCGGGCACGCGCTGCCCTCATCCAACACATCGACACCGAGCAAGGTCGCGACGTTGTCTGCGAACTCGCCCGCGGAAAGATTCATGTCAAGTGTCCTGGATGGGGTGAGCTCGTACCGAGTCCCCGCTCCCTGCGCTGAGTGCGCGCTCAATTGAACCCCGTCCTCGCGCCATGCCTCGACCGCTTTGCTCCGCAGCTGACCTCCCAAGTAAGCCTGGGTCAACTCTGCCCGGGTCGCCACCCCGAGGGCGTCGCGGCCCACGGTGGCTGCCAACCTGGCCGCGGCGTCCGCTAGAGCCCTGCCTGGCGCGCCGTCGTCCCACCGGTGGCCAGGCCGTATGCGCTCGCACAGGACGTGGGTGGCCGCTCGCGACGCCACGCGCGCCCATCTCCATCGAGATGCGCCTCAGCCCAAGCCAGGCCGCGGAGGTGGCGAAGGCGGCCTGCCTCCGCTGCAACTCTGTCCAACGCTGACCCACCGCCGCGGCGGCCGTGTCCACCGCCTCCTCGTCGTAACGGGCGGCGGCGTCCCGCAGCACCACAGCCAGGGTGGTGCGAGCCAGGTAGGTCATCCTTCCAGCGTTGACACATTGCCTCAACAGGTAATGCGTGACCGGGAGGTCTTCAAGCTCCGCCAGGAACGATAGGATGCCTCCCTGCTTCCGGACCTGGCGCGCGCAGAAGGCTTTGCAGTACTCCTCCTCTCCGACAGGGGATTTCAGCACCTCGCAGTTGCCGTCCTCGAACACCACGCACCCCAGCTCCACGAACGGGGCGGCGTCGATCGCGCTCCGAGCCCCATCGGCCGGGACCACTTGCAGCGTCGAGAAGCGAAGGCCGACTGCGGGCATCACCGCCTCCAGGCGTGCGATTTCCCGCGGCGCCTCATTGGACGGGCCTGCGACGAAGGCGTCGTCGGCGAAGCCGGGGGCCATGTCCAGATGCGCGGGAGGCTCGAG